ACTGCTACTACTGCTACTACTGCTACTACTGCTACTACTGCTACTACTGCTACTACTACTACTACTACTATTATTATTATTATTATTATTATTATTAAAACCATTTGCTTTTTTCAGTATCTCGTCAATGATCATAGAGGCCCAGCTTTCCATTTCATGTTGAGCTTTCTTGTTCTGGTCTATTTAGGCATTTACAGGACACCTCCTTAGGATCGCTGTGACACTCCTTGCAAATTTTCCCCATTTCCATAGCTTTAACTGAAAAACAGCTGAATGAACTGCTCACACTACCACATTTGCATATATTCATATGAAATGAGACAATGGAGTAAACAACTTGTTTTCATGTGGAAGACTGACGTTTTTTCCCTTCAACTTTCAAAGCAGATTCTATTTCAAGATTTTAAATCTTACATGAATTAATGCCAGCTCAGCTAGAGACCAGCAGTATCCCTTCGTAGACATAACTGTAATGTAAATATAACTCATTGGTGGAAGCTGTATTTTGTTTTGTCAACAAATTATAGGAAATGCTAGGTTCTGTATTATTGGCAAATTATTTGTGCATCTTGAAAGGGAAAAAAAGGTAAAAAAAGCACTTATCTTGTAAGTTTTCATTTAGATATTCCTGCCAAAATCGACGATCAAAAGGATTGTTATCAATATTTAAGCTTAAATTATTTCTCCAAAATGAAAATCATAGTCGCCAAACAGGCTTTTCTTCTGTCTGCAATTTTTTTTTACCCAAAATAAGGGGGAGCCAGGCCCCCCGGGCCCCTGCCCTAGATCCACCATTGCACATTGGCCAGCAGGTGAGCGCTAATTTCCAACACTGATTTTGTCTGTCCGAGCTCAATTTTGCCTGAGCTGTATCTGTCCATCACTTTTCCATTTTACTGTTTTGTACTAAATTGCACTTTTCTGCACTAATTAATTGTTCTGATTTGAAATTAAATAACATATTCTTAGCCATAGTTGGATATTATTATTCTACATAAATTATAAAAAGAAAATGACATGGTGACTCAAAGATATGAATTTTATGAATGGGTTTTGAAGATAATAACAAGGTCATGAAAAAAGTTAAGCACAATATTTATTATTATTTTTTTTTTGCTTATTTACCCAGTACCCTGCCTCCAAAAGAAAAATTAGAATAATTGAAATATTTTTCTTGACACCTGTGCCTTCTTTAAAATTTATGAATTTCCTGGTACACCTTGTCCATCTGGGGGTTAACTGTTGCAGTACAAAATTTTGTGTTGTGTACTGTTGGCCACAAGAGTGTTTTGGTTGGCTATTATGGACTGATAAGTTATGCCAGCAATGTTTCCAAAAGCTTTGATTATGTTCAGGATTCATAATTTTGCTGATACGAGTGCTCATGGAGTTATAGAACCCTCACAGGTTCACCCAAAGTTCCACTCACAGGATTCACTTGTAAATAAGGCTCACCATCCAGCCAGCTGGAATTTATCCCCCCCCCACTGTGAGCTTGAAGGATCTACAAACAAATGTGTTAGAAGTCATAGACTCTTTGTATTCACATAGTTAAACCTACATGTACCTAAGTTGTTTCAAACAGCTACTAGCAATGACTCAGTTACATGTGTACTGACTGCAACAAGTATCAATTGAAGAAAGGTCAAAGTACATTTCAATGCATTACACTGTGACACTACTTTGAAAAGTCAAAATGTCTGAAAATCGATATTGTTCATTGACAAATCGATTTGATTACATCTGGGATGGGTGAGTGACAATTGGCTGGATTGGCTGGCGATGTTCAAAAGCCCTGTCAAAAGACGGCTGCGAGGTCGAAGGCTGCGAGTCTTGGGAAAAAATCTGCAAGCCAAAGGGTGGAAACAAGACATTCCCATACTGAGAATAATCAGGTGAATAGTGCAAATTTGTAAAATTTAGTATGGGTTGAAATGCGCCATAAGGACCAGATCAAATGTTTGTAGAGAAAACCACTGACTAAAATTTTGAACCGATAGCTGTAGCTAGCTGTGCACACGCGTTGTCTTTGAAGAATTGCGAAAATCCAATTTTTGCCAGTATTTCAGATTTGATTGACGTTGCGACAGAAGAAAAACAAAAAAATGTTATTTAAGGCCATTAGACAAGATATGACCAGCTTCAAGGCAGGACATCGGCTTTTTTGATCTTAAGGTCCTTCGGACATAGTTATGTCTGGTCGGGACAAAAGGGTCGCACTTGTCGCAAGCACGCGATGACAGATTTTATGTCCAATGTAGACACCAAAAGCACTAGTGTGACCGCTGCCATATTCAACAACCAAGGGGACCGCGGACAGCATCGATGGCATTTAAAGCTTTTTACACTTGCTTTACTTGAATGCCGGTCCGTCAACCGTGTTTTCGCGAGCCTTATGCTTTCAGAGTGTTCCGGTATTGTAAAATTGCTCCCGAATATGTCCTACAAAATTTATTCGAGTGGAAGGGTATTCTGCTACCAGGCAAGCACTTGATAAGCTGATCAACACATCTGAAAACATCGAGCGTGTGCCAGAAACTTCAACAGTCGACCCTGACTCCTTTCGGAGATCCCCACAATACAGACACCTCTATATTTAGGACAGTTCAATCAGTCCCCATGAAACCAGAATTCATATGAGCTTAAATCACTTCCTTCATATAGCACAGGCACTCAGCTGGTTCGACTCGGTGAAAGCCCGACGTTTCGGGTTTGGCTCTTCTTCGGTGCAAAATATTCTTATACCCTCGCAAAAAGCCGTCCAAGTAAATAGAAGTTTGTAAATTTTCAGTTAAACGTAATTTCAGAAGCAAAGTGCCTGCTTACCTGGTACATAATCCTCGTCTTCCTCGCCGCTGCTACTGTCGTGTTCTGAGCCAGACATCTTTTCTCTGACACTTGTCCCTCCTTACATGACGTGTTGGAGTAAATCCAGAGAATACCCTGGGGACGAGTAGGTCGGTCGATCAAGGAAAACATGTCTGGGAATTCTGCTGATATAACTTGTGCCTTTGTTATCATAGGAGGGGGCATTTCTGGTGTTTCTTGCGCGGAACATTTATCATTATTGTGTCCAAAAGAGACCATTGTTCTTATTACAGCAACTGACGTAGTCAAAGCTACCTGCAACCTCAAGAAGTTTGGTAAAACATTGGAAGAATTTGATGTTGAGGAAAGATCAGCTTCATTAGTGTTCAAGGACAGTCGTAATGTTGTCATTGTAAAATCACTTGTCACCGCCTTTGACCCTGAAGGTAGGCAGACACAATCTAGTATAGAAAGATACCTATATAGAAACTTTATTAACTTGTCAATACCTTATTGTGTGGGAAATCTCATACTATATCAAACACCAGGGTTAGTTACTCGATAAAAATTGATATCGGAAAACCACTCGATAACTCGACAATAATCGATAAATTGAAATCAAGTGTTATCGATGATATCGGTCACTCGAAAAACTCGATACTCACATGCTTGCTAGGTTCAAAATTATCGATTTTATCGGATCTATCGATCAATGCGTTTCCTTAGTTTACGCGTTAAGGTGGCTGAACACAGTTTTTGATACCTGTGTTTCATTCACCCTTTTCTCTAAGACCCTTGATCTCTCGGTCGCCAAAAATGGCAGCAAGCAAGTTAACAACACAAACTTTGTTTTTTTGATGGTTAAGCTGACGTGGGTGACGTTGCCATTGCAACATCAATAAAAATAAAAAGGCATTTAAAATCGGTTTTGTTTATTTGTAGAAAATCTGGTCATTAGATTCTCTTTATAATTTGCTTGCAACAAACTTGAAACGATTCTCACAAGTTAACACCATTCCCTTGTTAAAGTTCAATTATTTTCAAAACTCCAGTTACTTATTTCCTAAAGTATTTTCCTGCCAAATTTTGTGAAATTCTAATGTGTGGTTCTCGAGAAATAGGCGTATTTCCAAGAGTGCAATTTGTCATTCAATTGCAATTTTTTGACTTACTACGCATGCGCTGTGTTTAACTGGGTTCTTTCGGTAACAAAGAAAAAGCTGAGAATTGCTGGGTTCTTTGCATCGTTACCTTTTTTAACATATTGTTGTGATAAAAGACTAAAGCCATCAATACACTGCGTTCAGTTATAGAGAAAAATAGAACAGATAGTGCGGGTGCTGAAGGTCCCGAAAAGTTTGCGCACCCAGAAAGCTGTAGCTAACTCTCAAACCTTATGATTACAGAACTGTTTTATTCACATGTTCTTGATGTCAACAGAGGTTCTTTTCATACAAGAAGTTTCAGACATGTACACCTCTCAGTTTTTATATGCAGAGTAATTGAATATGGCTTTATGGGCCCAAAAAGTTTCCGGGGCTTTCAAGAAACGGGCCCCTGAGCTTGAAGTAGCAGAGTGTTAACAACAGCTCTTTTATGTTGTAGATGATGTTTAGAATGAAAATTTAGGTATTGATCAGTATTGGTCGGTTTGTGGTATACAGTGACCTTGGTTGAGCAATCTTTGTTCACGTATAGGCAGGTGTCAAGAAATAGAATTCTG